TCTTTTTTCCCCCCTATTTTTTTCTTTTACTTTCGCGACGTCCGGGAAAAACATCGTTTATCTCTCACGGAAGTGACGTGTGGGAATATTTGATAGTTCTCTGTTCGACGCGTCCGTGTTTCGCTGCGGTCTTTGTATCGACGGGATCACCGACCTGGGGAGAGAAACGCGTTAAAAATGAAAATAAAAAAAAATTAAGCAAACGGGAATTGTGATCCATAAGACGACGGTTGTTTCTAACATTTGTCACCTTTGTTCTAACATTGTCGCTAACATCCAAGTATCTCCCATGCCAGTGTCAGCCCATTAAATTGCGCATCATTCATTCGCGAGAGAGCCACGCACAAATATCCCTCTTGCATTCTAACGTTTACAGAATACCTTAAAATTGCCACATGAAACGCAAGAGTCCGAACAGCCGGTAGAATCTCATATTCCTGGTCGTACTTCAAAATTTACATACGTGATATCACGCTGAAACTACTTTTACGCGCGTATCAGCGGCGAGAGTGAGAGTGAAAGAGTGTGTGTGTGAAAGAGAGGAGGGAGAGAGAGACATCTGTTCAACATAATGAGGGAAACCGGATTTGCAAAGGCCGACCAAGCAAAATGTTATCCGAGGAGACCGCCGCCTCGCCGATTTACGAGCGGTAAACAAAGTTGCGACGTGATATTACTCATTTCGGCGAATACTCGTTATAAATGTATCAACCTTGTACGGATAGAGCGAAACGTAACCTCGCCCGGATACGTGAGCAATCGAATTCCAACAGACGGTCCGATGGCTCATGTGCGAAATGGCCGCGTTTACACACGTACACGCGCTCACACACACGCGCGCGCGCGTGTACGCTAAACAGTTTCGATTTCGACACACTTGTCCGACGCGCTATTTCAGTTAACTACTTTTCCCCCTGCTGATTCGGTCTCGATTTTACGGAACTGTACGTGCATACTCGCAAAAAGTTATAATCTCATTCTTAGAGAGAGAGAGAGCGGAATCTCCTTATATATGATCTCAAGGGGAGAGATTCTTCCAGAACTAGAAGTAAAAAATTCCAACGTCCAGAAAAAAAGAACTTTGATTGCTATTTCCTGCAATCCCATATTCCAAGAGTAAATTTTTCACGAGAGAACATTCCTCTTCTAATGCAATAGACTGTTGATTGAAAATCTATCAGATATTATATTAACCTTTTTCGTTTTGGATCGATATGTTTGTTTGACTCACAATGTCCTCTTAGAGGAATGCTCTCTGGAAAAAATTTTGGTTAAAAACAAGACTTGTTCTGTAAAAAGATAAGATTTCTCTAACTTTAGGATATTGCTTATTTCAGATATGAAATTCAGATTTCAGATATGAGGATAGGATTGTGCTTATTTCAGAAAAATCCACGTATGCACTGATAAAAAATATTTGAACATTTATTTGTGGGATTTATAATTTATTTTTGTGAAACAACGTTTATTTCTGTAAAATAAAATTTGTTTCTATATAAACAAATTTTATATTATAATATTAATTATAATTTTATATATCCCACACACAAATTTTTAAATTTCTCTCAGTGTAAGGAGATTCCGCTAAAGATGAAATTTCCTTGAGTGCGTTTCAGCGACTGCATTCGTCTATTCGTTCGTCCGAGAATGTTTGTTCAATTTGCTCGCTTATGATTCGACTAATTCGACTTCTGTGTCGGTGAAATTTTTGTTTTCCTTTCTCCTAATAAATCGGCTGCGTATCCTTGCGTTTGCTCATCAATCTCAGAAGCGGATAATTAATCTCGCGAGATTCGCGGCGGTTTAACACGCATGCCTTCTACCTGCTCTATCGCGGGCTGTCGTCGAAGTTACGTTAAATTAATCACGATAACGACAGATTTATTACTCAGCCATCAATTTCCCGATATTAAATTAGCGAAATTTATTCGCGGCGCTTAAGGAAAGCATATTATTTACGCAGGCGAGTGCACGTGTCCTCCCTCTTTTATCTTCCTCGGGGGTTATGACGCGCTGAGAGAGGGGAAAAAGTTTGTCGTCGAGTATCTACCTAATCTGTGTTCTGTGTACCACAAATGAGAACGATATCTGGTAATACAAGCGCGCTTTGTCGTAACTGTCTGCTCGCTTCGCGAGACAATTTTCCCGCTCTTCTCTCGGGGAAAATATCGCGTTACTCATCTTTAGCGAGGCACGAAGATGCGAGGAGATCGTCAATAAACGGCCGCGACCTACAAATGAATCATTATAGATCGTCGCACCAGATGCGACGTTCAAGAACTTACATGAAACTGCTCGTTTGACACAATCAATGGAAATTTCTCAACAATGTGTCCGCGCGACTGTATTCGCACGTCACCTCTCATTATCTCTTCGCGTTATTATCACTTACACGACGCGTCTCGTAATCCAAAGTACAACTAATAAGAAGCCGCGACGTTCGCGACTTGAACATACAGCTGTTTAAGTGCTACAACAAGAAATTTCGTAACAATATCGCGAATAAAGAGTGTCCATATTACTATATCCCGTCATTCTCCCCCGTTGCCTGTCGCTGCAACTTGCGTAAAGTGTCTCGGAATTCAGCGTGTAACCAGCGGGACAGCGACGTTCGGAGAGGAAACGAAAGAAAAAGAGTAAAAACGATATCGCGGTATTGAGAGAATAAATGAGAGAATAAACTATCCGAAATAACTGGCTCGATTAAATAACTAAATAACTAAATATCAATAGAGTTAATAAATATCGATTTCATACATGCGCTGCGCTGCGAGGTAAAAAAGCAATGTCCTACTATTTTTTTAACATGAAATAACGCGTGGTTTCTCTCTCTCTCTCTCTCTCTCTCTCTCTCTCGCCTCTCGACATACGTGCGATTATTCGACGCGTGTATTTACACTACGATTTTAACAGAATCGGAATCCTCCTGTCGAAATGGGATATTTCGTGGCGCCGCGTCGTCCTGGCGCACGAGAGTGCATGGTCCTCGACGACGAGTCGAATCGATAAGTCGCGTTACCAACTATTTTAATTGAGAGAGCAAGCTAACTCTCCGCGTACACCGAGAGATAGGAAAATATTTCAGAAACGAACAGATATTACTCGGTGGATATTTTAATAACGTATTTTCTACTGATATAAAATATTTCTCAAATAAGCAAATATACACATTTCCTTGAAATCTTACGTGGAAAGAAAGGAAATATATGATGTACGTAATCAGACATGTCTGATTGTTCGACATAATTGCATCATCCTTGTTACCTTCGTGCGATAGCAATATGTATATACGATTGATATGACTCAGTTACTTTGGATATACGTAATTACTTACATCAACTAATCAGTGTAGTTACGTGTGATCTGATTGCGACAACGAGAAATCGGTTCGGATGACATTTACCATGAATACTCTGTTTGGAGCAACCAGATGTTGTCAATGCTGCAACGCCAGTAATTCAGCGATTACTCTTATACTCTCTTAAAGTGAATCAATAAATAGTCACTGATATCAGTTATAAGTATAGCACTGAACATTTTCAGCAACGCTTAAAACTGCAAATCAGTGTATATTCACTGTTTTCAGTGGTTTCATTGATTCATTTTAAGAGAGTATGGTTGCAGCAACCACATAATTAGTTGTTCCATATTTTACTGTTTAACCTGGTTGATACAAACAGATTTATATGTGGGCCAGTCATACTACTTTTTCCTGTAGCTTTTCATGAAAGAGTGATTGTTTATTGTATTTAAATAAAAGAATTTATAATCAAAAATTTATATTTAAGCAACTAAGTTATTATAGCAACCACCGAATAAATGTATTTTTTATTTTTTAGACATTGGCATTTTTGGTTTGCTGATTATAAATATGAAATGAAATGTGTAAAATTATTTATATAAATAATAAAATGCTTAAACAAAACATGTAAAAAGTTAAAAAAAAGTATTTATACAAATAATTTCTCGGTTTGGCCGAGATTCGAACTATTTTTGACTAATTTAGCACAGATTTGAAATATTTCGGTTGGAATCTCGGCTAAAGAAATTTAGAATGGTTTTTATCTTAGCTATGTCGATTTTGTTAAAATTTTAATTGAAATTGCCGGATTTCTCTCGGTTTGGCCGTGATTCGACAGATTTGAAATATTTCGGTTGGAATCTCGGCTAAAGAAATTTAGAATGGTTCGTATCTCTGCTATGCCATAGCTATGCCGATTTTGTTAAAATTATTTAACTATATTTTGTAATCAATTTTATTTCTTATGCATTTTTGTTGTACTTGTTGATGATAGGAGTAAAAACATTAAAAAGCTATAAACTGCCCATGAAATTCAAAGTGGCCCAAATTAAAAGATATGACCTAAATATTTTTTGTACTTCTACATTTTTGCTAAATTAGAAAGAAATCGGAGTGTAACTTTTGGATAGGTTTACTTGGCAGTCACATCTTTTGGGACGTACAATACGATCTGAGTCTGCCAGATCCGTATAACTTTGAATCACTGTGTGTAACTTTGTCGAAAATAAGTATTTTTGGGCACATTTTTGTTGGGAAATAAGCCTCAGCTATGAGATAGTACACTGAGAGAAAAAAATAGTTGGAATAACTATAATCTCACTATATTTTATAATTCGTTTTGGCCTCAAACATATATTTATAGTTCATCTAAACACGAAAATATAGCAGAATGAACACACATTTATAGTCACCATCTTATTACTCTATATGTAAATTACTCTATAGTAAAGCTTTGGGAATATAGTTACATGTACCCATATTTTCCAAATATTCCAATTGTATTGATTATATAAAATAGTTAATTTTTCTTACCATTTAATATTTGCTTTGTATTACCATTTAATATTTCCTTACTATGTTTTTTACTTCAAATAATAATAATTCTTGGTAAAAGTTTTACATGAGTCAGTTATGCTATGCTTATATTGTAAATATTACAAACATTATGGTGACATTTACTATAAAAAAGATATTCCTAACTATAATCTTTTTACTATGCCATTATAGTTCATACATTTTTCTCTCAGTGTAGCGCTTCAAGATCCACATCTGCAAACTGATCTGCGCAATTTTAGAATTTGTCCGGACTCTTTATGGATGTCGGTGAGCGCGATCAAATATCTGTCCGGGTCTCACAGACCCAACATTGTACGCGGAGGGTTAATTACGCGCATCGGTACGTGATCCTCGACGCGGCGATCGACGCGCGATACACAAGTCGGGTCGCGTGTAAGAGTATACGGGCAGGAAAGTGTGAGGCTTACGTGAATATGCGCGATGATGTTCCACGCTTGTTACATAATGATAGACTAATCTACCATCGGAGATAATGTCCGTCCGATAGCCGCAGATTCCCGATGCCACATGTATACGCACACACGGCATCGCACGCACGCACGCACATGAATATGTGTAACGCATGATCGCGACGCGCCGCGACCGATCGTGGATCGGCCAATTTCTAAGCCGCCGGATTCATCACTCGCGCGGCGCGCACCGTGAAAGGTTGTACGGTCGGATTGAGCAATGAGAGGTGATTTTTTACGCGCGCAACGGGTTTTGAAATAAGCAACCTGACGATGGGACGAGCACAAAGAAAGTCGCTGGAAGATAGAAAAAAGAAGGCAGTTGAGCCACCGTATGTTATTCTCTTTTCTTCCTCTCTATCTCTCTCTCTCTCTCTTTCTCTTTGTAGAATGGAATTCCACAGGCGGTCTTATACCTATTACTCGGCTGGGCTTTCGGACAGTATTCCTCCTAAAATTCGTAACTCACACACAGTAGATGAATTTAAGACCGACTTTTATTCATTCTCGCCTGAACACGACGGTGCTGATTGAAATAGAGCGGGTTGAATATTGTAAATTAAGGAGATGAAAATGATTTTCATTAAACAAGTATGATTTTATACTGGTTTTTGTTTATTTCGTTAGTTTATTTACGCATTCATTCTTTCGCATCAATTAATATGCAAATTATAAATCATCCTCAATAATTTATATTATTTGCTTTTATATTTATGTTACATTTCTGTAATCTGTACATTTGAGGGGATGATATCCCAGAGCGCACAATAAATGAAGCTCTCTCTCTCTCTTCCTCTGTCGTACATTGGACTTGTCTGTGGTGAGATTTAAGCGACATGTAATCCCGGCGATATAATCCGTGATATATATTTTTCTATGTACGTGTATATATATATATAGGGTGTCCTAGTTCTCGCGACTTTAATTTATACTGACGGATCCTCTGAGCAATTTAGAGTCAATTTCTCCTCATCGAAAGCGAAAGCGTCGAGGCGCCAACAGTTTCTGAGATACAAGGGATCGTAAAGTAGAGCTTTTCGCAAACTAAATGACCAAACGACAACTAAACGACTAAAACGCAAACTAAAAGATGACTAACAAAATAGTGCTCCTCTGTCAGTTTCAAGTGGACTTTAACAGAATTTTTTTTCAAGCCTCAGTCAGAAGTATACGTTGTATCGAAAATTGAAAAGTCGCCACACACGAATGATCTCCCTTAAAATTTTCGACGAGCGAGAATTAATTCTAAATTGCTCAGAGAAGCTGTCGGTATAAATTAAAGTCGCGAGAACTAGGACACCCTGTACAAAACAGGCGGACAAATTAAATGGAGCGCTGACGCGCGCGCGGATGGGATTCTCACCGTTTTCGCGGAGCGATTAAACGACGCGACGGGGAGGAAGGAAAGGGGAGGACGAGTTTCGCATTTAGCACGACGCGAACCGTGTCCGTGATAGACAAGAACCGCGGTCAACGAGCGATTATGACAAGCAGATTAATTGCCACGCCACGATAAACTTGGTATTTCTAATGTACGACTTATCGCACTTAAACGAGTCGGACGGCTTAGCCGTGTATGCGCGTCGTCGATTAACACAAATCCATCCGATATTCACTCGCACCTATCGCGTCTCGGTATTTATTGAACAATAAATATGACCGCGAGTTGAGGAGTGCCTTTACCGGGGTAGTAGTGTGCGAGGGGGGAAACTTCCATTTTTAACACGTCGTTCGTTACAGCTTAGCCGTAGGGCAAGCGGCGATCGCAAGCGCGAGACTCTCTCGCAGTGAGAATATCAAATACAATAAATATCCGCGAGTCGGCGCGGGCTAAGTTACGTTCCCCGTCGTAGATATATTTCAATAGCTCGCGTCGAGCTCGGAGAATTCGCTAACTCCCTCGGAGGGACAGCACATGAAACAACACTTACACGTCTGAACGTCTCCACGAGATAAAAGTCGACAAGTCGAAAAGGGTGTGCTCTCTCGAACTCTCCCCCAATTTCTCGCCCGAATCTCCGCTCTCGTGAAATATGAATCGAGACACCAACGTGCAAGCGCGGCGTACGAATCTCTATATCTCGTCCGATACAAAAATTCGTACGCCGAAGGAGAAGTTTGATAAAGAGAATTATCTAATAGAAAAGCGACCTCTTCCTAGCCAGTGAATTAGTCTTTTGCTTACTGGCTAGTTTCTAGACAGTAAAGTTAATTTTTAATCAATTTTTCATCAGCTTTTTATTAGCTTTTAACTAAACTTTTTTTGTATAAAATTCCGTCAGGCAGTTTACATTGTTCAATTTTACATTGTGAAATATACTATATTTTGTTATTCAATATAAAAATAGCGTAAAACTCGTGCTGGAGAGAGTAAAGTCTTTTCACGTGCAAATTCATTCGTTATTAAGATAATCGCAGCCAACTTTATTTTTAATTTTTTTCTTCTCTAGTTTCTGTGTATAGTCAATATTTTGAAAGTATCAGTCAGTATTTTACTAGACAAAAAAACTGTCCAACATGTATTAACCATATTTTATTGCTCATTTTCTAAACAATTACTGTCTAATAAATCTCAGCCAATAAAGACTGCTCCGTTTCGGGCAAGTGAGAATTTTTCTCGGAAATATTCTGCTTTGGGCAAGTGTCAAAGTGTCTCATGCTGTCGCAGAAATGGCAGACCCGAGGACAGTTTATTAAATTATTCAGTTGAATAGAAGTCGAGGCAGATCGACAATCTTTCGGCCGATATTCGACACGGGTTCAACCAAGGAGAGCGTCTTTCACCCGGAGGAGAATTTCGTCGCGGCTTGAAAATCGCTCAGGAATCGTGCTCGAGTCGCGCGAGTCTTCGTTGCCCTTTACGCGCTGCCCGGCGATCACGCCGACGGTGGGAATCAACTCTCGGATGGAAAAAAAAATTTCGCCATCGCGAAATCACGAAATTCGTGGGCGTGCCGCCTTTCGTTCGTCCGTTTTGATGTGCACGCGCGAAAAATCATCTCCCGCGTGTCGTCGCGTGCTACAGCACTGCGCGTGTATATCTGCGCGTGCGATACGTATGTACTAACCGTAGAAAGGCAAGGCCTTGATATTTCGTATAATAAGCTTTGAGAATTATCTCCTCGGGATTGGTGCACAGGCCTGGTTTCAACTCCCGGTATCTGCCTTGCTTGCCTGCCTGCCTGCCTGCCCGTTTCTCGGCGCTCTCGCGGACAAAAGTGGTATCCCGCGGATACAACGCCCGGGCTGTGGCGGCGACACAACACGCACAAACGGAGAGGAGGTCACGCCACCCGTAAAGCCGACGGCGTAAAAACGCCACCGGGAAAAAGAGCGAAGGAGAGAAAACGGAAGGGAAAGAATCGTCGATCGAGAACCCGCTCGTATATATACGCGACTAATTATACACGGCCGCGGATCGAAAAGGAACAGACGAGATATCCCGTCGGGGCTCTCTTCGCCGCGTTTAATTGCGTTGCGCGCGCGCGAGTGCTAATCTCCGCCGATATGTAGCGATGTTCGTAAGGGCGAATCGACCGCTGATCGTCGATTAATCGTCAGGGTGAATCGACAGTTCCGCTGCTCGCGCTGGGACAACCGTGGATAATGCTTTGACATTTTATCAAACTGCGCAATCACGTTACGGGCTGATAAAAGTATAGAGATCTGCAAATACCGGCGCGAAAATGCACACATCTCGTCTCATAAATTCGAATTGAGATTTGGTTTCTACATTAATCCTGCAAATATCGTTGATATTTGAAAGATCAACGAGAAAAATCTTGATACCACACAAGTTATTGCTTTGTCTGGATATACTGCAGATGTTTACTCGCTGCACTGAGACAAAATACTCCAAGATTTATTTGTAGACTGTAATGTTTATTTTCGCGAATAAACCTTATATCTGACAAGCAAATTTTCGAGAATTTTGTTTTCTCAATGCGTAGTCCGTTCAGATTTGACGAAACATTCTTTTTTACTCTCTCTCTCGCAGCAATTGTATCTAATATATTTTATTTTTTATATATTATATTAATATGTAATTTTTCATTACATCAATATTCCATCTCCATTTAATCATGTAATTTTTAACTGCAATATGCAAATAATATAACTTTCTCAATTAAATAGAGTATGTGAAATAAGCGGATATTAAATAATTAATTATGAGGTGTTATAAGTGATGTTTGAAGATTCGTTATTAATAACTCTGTTATAATTTTTTTCTTCGTTGTCGTTGGAAATTGTATTTAGTGTTTTAAGAGAGATGAAAAGAAGAAATTTCAGCTCTTGAAATAGCTGACTAAGAGAGAATTGAAAGGCAAAAATAATAGTCGCGTATTCAGTGCTGCGCATTTTGCATATAAATTAAATCTGGATTCGGTATAATAACAAGTCTAACCAGAGAAAAAACATGAGCAAAGCGTGAGAAAAAAATATTTGGTACCTTGAACCAAGGTAAAATTCGCGACACAAACAGCATTAAATACGCAAAAATCGACCTTTGCGAGATTTACACTAGATACTCAAACCGGTACTCATAGTTACAAACTATTTACGATTTTGTATCGAGAACATAATTAATTACATCCGTAAACCGTCATTCAGCTGTTTGAATCAACCTTTTTCGTTGTATAAAATACTTCCTGGCACATACGGACAAATAACCAAAGATTTACGAAGCTACAATTATTTAATCAAGTAATAAACTATGAATGCCAGCTTGATTTTCGACTCGTTCCGCTAATTCCGATAACTTCGTCAAACGCGTGTTAAAATTACAAAATCTACGTAACGAATTTCACATACCTGGAAAATGTGCCGCGGAAATGTACTGCGAGTTCTGGCTCCCCGATTCAGCATCCTGCTCTTGGCTCGCTGTTTCGTCACGGACACTCTGGACATTCACAAGCGACAGCAGACAACACTCGCGCGAGATACGATTCGATGGGAGATACTCGACGTTAATTAACGCGACGAGACCTCCCAGCAAGAGTCGACGAAATATTTTCATCGGCCGACGTGGAATAATAATTAACGCGAAACGACACTACCGCGTTACGTACGGACCACTCGCCGCTTCGTGATGTAATATACAACGCGCGGAGATAACACTGAGCGTCGCGAGAGTCGCGTGTATACGTTGTTTTTGTTAGCGCGCATTGTTTTGACCTCCCAGCTTGCTCATCGTCGCGAGCGGCGCGGCAGAGGGAGCTCAGCCCTTTGTGCCTGCCGAGTGTGTGTCGAGCCGGCGAGCGACGCGCACGCGTGTCGATACGTTTGATTCCCGATTTCCGTCGTGCGATCGGAGTATCCGGTGGGTACACTTCACCGGGCTCTCGTCGCGGCGTCGCGATAATTAAACGCGCGTTTCTCCGATCGAGTCGTCGTCCGCGTCCGAGCGAGTGTCAAGTGTGACTTGAGTGATTGTCCGGGGTGCCACGATGGAGGAGCGCAGCCGGGCGGAGGGTGCCGGAGGGTCGGCGAGCCAGGACGGAGGACGCAGGAGGGCCACGCGTGGCCAGCGATACGTATATAATTTCCAAGTAAGGCGAATTATTGACTAGACAGCGGGCTTCCGATTTTGTTGGGACGCGAGGAATACCCGAGTCGAAATTCAGGCCGGCATTCGTAGTTCGTCGCGTTGTTTGGCAATAATTCTATAGATTCATGAATATTATTCCGATTATTTCTGTCCATCTGTATTTATCTCATATGAGAAATATTGATTGAAACGGCTGAATGACAGTTCATCAGTACGAATCTGTAATTGCTTCGAAATTCCAATCAAGGAATACGAATAATTAACGAACTACGAATATCGAGCCTCTGACATTTATTGTGAGTTTCGCAAATGTTTGATTTTTACGTCCAATAATGCTTTCCGGATCGCGAGTTCGACCTTATTTACATTTGACAACGCCTGTTTTTATTTCTGTTTACTTTCGTATGGAATATAAAGATTAAAATCTCTATTGATAAACAGCATTATTGGACACATAACTTTGTTATCTTTGCTTTTACAGCTTTTTCTTTATCAGCTCTTTTAAGAGCTTCGAGACCTTCAACGCTAAAAAAAGAAATCATAAGAATAAAAATGTGTTGTTTCTTTCATCCCTTTATATACCTTAATTTTTATTAAATTATTTAATATTTGCTCATATCGCATATTTTATACATACTATATATATATATATATATATATATATATATATATATATATATATATATATATATATATATA